ACCCCCACAAACCGCACTTAAACAGCACCTTCTCTTCTTCTACCCGTTGTCGTCGTCGACGTCGCCAGTCATGAACTGCCCATCGCGAACGGATGAATCCCCAGGCCATCCACAATGGAACCAGAATCCACCATCGTTGACGGCTGATCTGACCACTTGCGAGGACCTCAATGGAACTGTAAATTCCCGATCGTACAGGAATCGGGAGTCGCATTTGCGTTGCGATTCTACTCAGAATCCCGATAGTTTAATGGGGAGACCGCCGTCCGAGAATCATCGTTCCCCCGTGCGCTCAGAGCGGGGTGCGGAGTCAGGTTGTCCTTTTTCGAATAAAGAAGGTATTTTTTTGGTTTGTATGCATACACGCATATTATATATATATATATGCGTGTATGCACACAAACTTTTCTTGAATTAAGCTGAGAATAGTAGAAATATTCCCGCTAACATTATAACTCCAGACACCTACTCTCTCACCCGTGCTCTCCTCCCGGGAAAAGGCCATGCTACCAGTTGGCCTATCGGGATATACCAACGATCCCGTCAGAATCGAGCTTGGATCTGGCGAATTGCGTTGGTCTTATTATTTGCAACTTTATCCTTTTCCTTTGGAAGTGCTGTACTTTCATATGGTAGGTGCTGAGACATCTCTGTGTTTCAAAAAACGCCCCTGATTGGCGGAGAAGCGACTCATTTCTCCCTGGTGTCTTGTGTCTTGAATATATATGTGTTTTGTCATTTACTCCTTTCATTTGATTTATTCCTTTCACATGAACACACAAAGTTAATCTACTCCAAGCATCGACCGTGAAATCAAAGCTGGCCAATAAGCTGCCCACCCGCGGCCTCCAGCGCCGCGGAACCTGCTCCAACAACCCCGCTACCGAGAGCGAATACAACACCCCCCTCCACGTCGGGAGCCTGCTAATCATCCTGTTCATCTCCTCCTTGGCCTGCTCATTCCCACTCATGTCCGTCAAATTTAGCTTCCTCCGCATCCCGTCCTGGTTCCTCTTTCTCGTCCGCCACTTCGGCACAGGCGTCCTGATCGCAACAGCCTTTGTCCATCTATTACCTACCGCTTTCAGCTCGTTGAATGACCCCTGTCTGTCCCGTTTCTGGACACATGACTACCAACCCATTCCAGGCGCGATCGCGATGGCTGCTTTGTTCCTGGTGACGGTTGTGGAGATGGTATTCAGTCCTGGGAGGCATTGTTGTGGCAATGCAGGGAATACGAATATTTACACCAAGGGCGGCATGGGGGATGGGCGTGGGAGTTGTGCTGCTCGCAGCGATTCTCAACAGGACAGTCGTCTGGAGAAGCTGAGGACCGATGCGACTGGTGTGAATGCCTTGATGCGCCGGGAGCGGCCGCTAAGTGGCAATTCGAGTAGTCTTGGTCGTGAGTTAGCGCATTTTAATGCAGACCTTGTGGAGATGGAACGGATGCAGACAGTGGATCGAGGAGAACCACCGATGGTGGAGAATGGCAAGACCGTTACGGATGACAACAAGGTGCTGAGTGATGATGACGAATCCTCGATTCAGCTGACGCCGGAGCAGCGGCATAAGAAGGCTGTGCTGCAGTGTATGTTGTTGGAGATGGGGATTTTGTTTCACAGTGTTTTTATTGGGATGGCGTTGGCGGTGTCCGTCGGGAGCGATTTCATAATTTTGTTAATCGCTATTTCATTTCATCGTATGTCTCCCCTCCCCCTGCCTCCTTCACTCCGTATCCCTTTCTTCACCATACCCCTTCAAAACAAGACCGGATTGGTTTTTGGGAGGATCCGAAACGAGACTAATGAAATTGCAGAAACTTTCGAGGGCCTGGCGCTCGGCTCGCGCATAGCGGCGATTGACTGGAGCCATAAGAAATCGCAACCATGGCTCATGGCTCTTGCATATGGCTGCACGTATGTTTGCCCCCCACACCCAACCAAATATAATGAATTCCCTTCCATCAATCTGCAATTTTCGAAAAATGCATTCTAATTATCTCCACAGAACACCCCTGGGCCAAGCAATCGGCCTGGCAACACACACCCTCTACGATCCGAACTCAGAAGTCGGCCTGATAATGGTCGGCGTCATGAACGCTATCTCATCCGGTCTGCTTCTTTTCGCATCACTGGTGAGTTACTAGCCGAGGACTTCTTGAGCGATGCGAGCTGGCGCACGCTGCGTAGCAAAAGGCGGCGTTACTGGCTTGGTTTCC